CTTACAGTTCGACCCCGAAGAATGGTATCTATGAAATAATGATAGGTTTAATTTTTTGTGGTTATTGACATACATGAGACATACCATCGCTATCAACGCCGATATATTTGCAATGATTTGTAAATATTTGGATTTAAATCGCTTTAAAATATATTCATTGACTGAAACCAAATTCATTTTATAAAATACCGGCATAAAGAGCTCGCAGGCAATGACTGCGCCCAATATGGCTGGTATTATAATCACATAAAACATGGTTCCCGTGGCGTACATAACAGTGGGAAAGCCTATAAAGCTAGTGCTCGCCAAGAAACTGGCCATAATCGATATGGTAACCGGAAATATCGACATACGTTTCCCTCTAAATTATTTGCAAAACTATATTTTATTTTATGGTCACAATTGGTGGTGAAATGAATACCCCCTCAGGAACTCGTCTTCGTCGGTGTTGTTGCGGTCTTTCCACGCATAGTATAGCCCTATAATTGTGGACACCATTAACATACCGATGAACACCACGTAGTCTACGACACCGAAGTAGTCAGACATTGTGTCCTAATTTTTTTCACTTTTTTCTAATAGAGATTCCGTTCTTCTAATCTAAAGCCAATTCATTAAATATTATTTTTTAAAAGTTTTACATAATATACAAAAATAATTCTGACATTTATTACTTTTGATTTATTTACTAAAAACTAATATTAATTGCTAAAAGTATTAAAATATTTTAATAATATTAAACTCTAAAAACTGATCTACAATTTTATTTCGTATACCTTAAAATATAATTTTTAAATATAATAAATAAGAAAATTTAATTTTAATCTTGCAATTGTTTTGAAATTTTATAATTTTAAAAATGTTGATTGAATATTGATTTAATGTTCCTATTATTAATAAGTTATAAGTTATAACTCTTATTATTACTTTTACATTATTTGTATTACCATTACTTAAATTATTTCTATGTTTTAAAATAAATATCGAGATATAAAATATTGCTATTTTTATGTCGAGAAAATATCGCAATGTTTTGAAAGATTTATTCAATTAACTGAAACACACATAAGAGATGTAATCCGTTTCACTCGTATATCACATGTTATGCCATGTCTTGAGCGTAAGGTTTATGTGTTTAACAACAAACAGATTTGTTTGCCATTGAAGGCGACTTCAATTGAATCTCATGACAGAATTAAACAAATAAATTCTTGTCTTAATACAAACATTTCAAACACCTTTTAACCTAAAAAAGCAATATTTCACAAATAGGATATCGATTTGTCAGTTGTATAGTTGTAAATAAAATCTAATATTGTTTTAAGCATTTCCCCAATTTTTGTCATTAATTCAATATAAAGCACACAAATTGTGGTCAAAATTAGATTTACGTTTACCTCTATGTTATGTCTATTGGGCTCTTCAGGTATCGATGAATTGATTAGTGACAATGTTTTGTTGTTTTAAATATACGGCTATTTTCACAACCGATTCCTATTTATATAAATCGACAAATTCTTAAACCGTAAAAACTAAACCAAACAAAAAATAATTGCATTCATTTCGCTAACAGTAGACTTAATTGTAAATTCCTAATTATATGATACAAATAAATTTAATGCTAAACTATTGTTTATTTTCATTTTGCCCTTTTTGTTAGCAGACTTATAATTGAAATATATGTTATTGTTTGACATTTTCATTATAACCATTAAGTTCTAGTGTATGGTTTGTTATAGTGTGCCATAATTATTATCATTTAGTGTCACATATAAAAGACATTTTCAGTTGATTTTCAATTAATACTCGGAAAATATATAATTTTATTGATAATTATATCTTTTCTCACAAAATTTTTTAATTCAAAAGCATTACAAAATCATTTTCGCGTGAAATCTGATTCAAATTTTAATAAAATGCAAAAATTATACTCAAAAGATCTGACTTTGACTTTGAAAGTAAAGACTTATTTTTAGCTATTCCTCTATTATTGGGCAAATTTGATACCAATTTAATGAGAAAAACAATTTATATAATTACAGGCTTGACATGACATCTCATTTATATTCAATTATTTTAAAAGCGAAAAACACTTTAAAATCAATACATTTAAACATTGAAAAGTATTTCACACATTTCTTAAGATTCATTGCTTTGTATTTGACGGACAAATGGCATACAATTGCGTACAACAATTTACACATACTATGTATTATGATATACTGTATATACTGTAATATTGATCACAATTTCTCAATGCAATCGTTTCGGCGAGACTTGTTTTATAGTAGTATTTCTGGACGTATAGAGTAGTTGTGTAACAAATTTCAAGCCTTAATATAATTACCTCTTTTTCACAGAAGAGCTTATAATTGGATTCGTCTCAAGAATATAACCATTAGTTGTAATATTATATGAGAATAATTAATGATATAATTTGTCGAATAATATGAATACTTGTTTACCACAGGAATACATACAATAATTTTTTTCAACATGGTCATTATATGGCCTATAATTGTATCAAGTCAGAAATTTGATTGAATCAACCATTTTGGTTAAATAAATTTGTAACCAGTAAAGATCATATTGGAATCGAGTGTATATTAACAGATTTTTTAGATTTTGAAATTGAAATAAAATATTGATCGACATATTAATAGTAAAATAAACATAAAATTTACAATAAAAATATAACACTATATCAATGGTGTAACTTAAATAGAAAATGAGACAAAGTGTAAAATAAATTGTAATACATAACTAGTGATAGGAATAAAATTGATTTCTAATTTACATAAAGTATAACACTTTAAATGTAGTGAATGTATAAATAAAATTAAAACTAATTAAAATTTTATATATTTAAATGTGGTTCAATAAATGTAATAAAATATCTCAAAGATTTAGTTTTTAGACAATAATATATTCATTCACTAACTATAATATATATGGCCTTTAATTCAGTGACTTTATCGGCGTCTTTATATCGGGGCTCATTTTCTCAATAAAAAACTTTGTTGAAATAACTGTACAAATCTTGAAAAGTGGGTCTTTTATCAGGATCTTTGTGCCAACAATCGAGCATAATTTGGTAAATACTATTTGGACACTCAGAATGTGCCGGATATGGCATTCTATACCCTCTGTCCACTTGTTGTAACACATGCTTAATGTCCAAATCTAAAAATATGCAAATCAAATAACATCCCAATTTATAAATTGTAGTAATTTTGTTAAACATGATAATAATAACCTGGATAAGGTGTGCCTCCTTTGGTCATCAACTCGTATAACAATATACCGAAAGACCAAATATCGGATTTACTCGTAAATCTTCCCTTATTAGCCGCTTCGGGAGCCGTCCATTTGATCGGGAATTTAGCCCCAATTCTAGCCATGTATTCGTCTTCATCTATAATGCGGGCCAAACCAAAGTTAGCCACTTTTACCTCTTTGTTTTCGCCCACCTGTCCATACGGTTATAGTGAGATGCAGTCGATTATAATGTACAGTACAATACAAATTAAAATAATTGTCAAACAAATAATTTACAGACCAATATATTCCTGGCGGCTAAGTCTCTGTGAACCACTTTAATGGCCTCCAGATATGCCATTCCCGACAATATTTGTGCCGACATATCAATGAGATCGTTGACAGTACAGGACTTGCCCTCCGGACTTGTGAAGTAATCGAGTAGAGATCCGTTACACATATACTCAGTCACTATAAGCAACGGCTGATCCATCGAACAAACGCCATAAAGTGATACTAAATGTTTGTGTCTATACTTTCTCATAATCGCCGCCTCCTGGAGGAAGGCCTTCGGAGACATTGTGCCGGGTTTTAGCATTTTAATGGCCACTTCCACTTCGTCCCTAAACAATCCGTAATAGACTTTCCCAAAGCTTCCCGAACCCAATTCGTACAGCAGATTCAAATCATTGCGAGCGATCTCTTGCGGACATTTTGGTGGTCCGGTTTGGGACGGCTTAGGACACGGCTTATATAGTGGACAACAGAGACCATCTAAATAGTTAGAATAGTGAGCGACGAGGTCTTCGAGTTTGGCAAACGATTGCCAGGATGTGATGAAGTATTTGCTACTTTTGACTACAATCTTATAATGTATGACGTAATGTAACTTTCGTGAATCAAACTCAAGGACTGACAACGAAAAGTTACCTGTAGTTTAACGGGAAGACAACTCACTTTATTGCATATTATGTAAATTATATGGTTATAAAGACCTGTGTGTTGCTCACTATATCTAATGAGAAAAGTACCCCTCGGGTTGTCACCCGATAGGAGTAACGTTTCCGCCTCACTTCGAGAGGTTTCGCTGAAAAACCATCTTTTAATTGAAAATATTTGAATAAATTTCATTATTTGAAAAACAAAACAATTGACACAAACAGACAAAACATTACATACTCTGTATTTTCGTTGATCACAAAATTCATGGCCCATGAATCATGGGTATATAACCGCTCGTCTCGGAGGTGAGACCCTTTGCGAGCCACCACTTGCCGTCCGTATCATCAATGATGACCAGTTTGTCTCCCTTTTCAAAGCTCAGCTCTCCCTCACCCCTACCCTCATAGGAGTACAGAGCGATCACTATCTTCTGTTTCGGACCATTCGTACCATTTGTCGCCTCATAATTGGGTATCGATGGCAGTCTTCTCTGAGGGCGTCGGGCGTTACCGTTAATACAATTATCCATTATTTCTCATAACATTATTTATAAAAACACATTTAAATCAATTAAAAATTTGATGACTATAAGAGTACTATTAAGTAAAACAAACTAAACCATAATACATATCTCGTTCGCTATTCACTCACCTTATCATTTTATTTTTGACTCAATTTTACAATAATTTACGATAATTTTACACTTATTTTTTTAAATATCATTTTTTATAATTTAAAAAATCCTAAACTTTACAATCCTTTATATTGTATACTTTATATTGAAAAACTTTCCTACAATATAGTAATATTGATCTTAACTTATAATCCTATTAATTAATTCTGTAGTAACTAATCCACTCCTTTACCTGTATATACAATATGAATTCATATCTAGTTTAGTTTTGACTTATAGTTTTTATTATATCAATTTAAATCCTAATATTTCTATATTATAGTGTATTAATGACTCAAATTTATTGAATACTCAAAACTTTATAATTTTTGCATTTATTAAAATATGATATACAGTATTAAAACTTACAGTTAGTTTAAAAATATTTTACATATTAGTTTATTTTATTTTATATTGCTATTTATTAAAAAAAATATTTAAACATTTTTACACATTTTTGAAATTGAAATAAACATCAATATTAATAGCAATAGTAAAATAAAATCAAAATTTTAAATACAATAAAAACGTAATAACATTAAAATGTAGTGATTGTATGAATAAATTTAAAACTCATTCTCAAAATGTGTTCAATAAATGTGAGAAATAGTCTCAAAAGTTTGTTATTAATGCATAACATTTATTTGACATTTTAAACAAAACTGTTTATTCACTAACTATGCGGACGTCGGCCACAATATACAGGGGTATGTATAGGGGTTCAGTCGCCACATAATAGTCGTCGAAAAAATAATGTAAATATTCAAAAGTGGGTCTTTGACCAGGGTCCTTATGCCAACAATCGAGCATAATTTGGTATATATTATTTGGACACTCGGAATGTATCGGAAATGGCATTCTATACCCCCTGTCCAACTGTTCGCGCAAATCCCTTTGGTTCATACCTAAACAATATTTAGATAATATAGTTAACAAACTGAAAATTACTGTAAAAATGTTAGAACATGATAATAACCTGAATAAGGTGTGCCCCCTTTGGTCATCAACTCGTATAACAATATACCGAAAGACCAAACATCGGATTTACTCGTAAACCTTCCCGTATTAAGCGCTTCGGGAGCCGTCCATTTGATGGGGTATATCAAACCTATTTTGGATACGTATTCGTCTCCGTCTATACTGCGGGCTAAACCAAAGTCAGCCACTTTTACCTCTTTGTTTTGGCCCACCTGTCCATACGGTTAGAATGAAACACAAATTAATAAACAAATAATTTACAAACCAATATATTCCTGGCGGCTAAGTCTCTGTGAACCACTTTAATGGCCTCCAGATATGCCATTCCCGAAGATATCTGTGCCGATATATCGATCAGATTGTTGACAGTCAAAGCCTCGCCGTCTGGACTGTTTCTGAGATAATCGAGTAGAGATCCGTTACACATATACTCAGTCACTATAAGCAACGGCTGATCCATCGAACAAACGCCATAAAGTGATACTAAATGTTTGTGTCTATACTTTCGCATCATCGCCGCCAACCCGAGGGATGCCTCGGAAGACATTATTCCGGGTTTTATCGCTTTGATGGCCACTACCACCTCATTCTTAAACAATCCGTAATAGACTTTCCCGAAGTTTCCTCTTCCCAACTCCCGCCGCAGCGACAGATCCTGACGATTGATCTCTTGCAGACATTTTGGTGGTTTTGTTGGACAAAACTTTGGACACGGCTTACATAGACGACAACAGAGGCCGTGAGACTTGTTTGAATAGTGGGCGATGAGATCTTGGAGTTTGGCAAATAAGTACCGAACTGTTAGGTAGTACTCGCCGTCACTATTTTGTCGTATCCTATAGTGTTTGACGTGATTTAACTTAAGTGAATCAAAGTCGCGGATTGATAACGAAAAAGCACCTGTAATTTGACAGAAATACAACTCGTTTTAGTGTATAATAATATTATATTATGTAATAATACATGTTTATAAATACCTGTGTTTTGTTCACTGTCTCTAACCAGGAAAGTACCCCTCGGATAGTTATCCAATAGAATCAACTTTTCCGCTAACCTTCGAGAGGTTTTGCTGAAAAACCAGCTGTTGATTGAAAAAATATTTTATTATTTAAACTATAAAACAATTAACACAAGACATCACATACTCTTCAGTTTCAATAATATTCATAACCACATAATTCATGGGTATATAACCGGTCGTCTCGGAGTTGTATCTCTTCGCGAGCCACCAGTCGGGCTCCTTATCATCAATGATGACCATTTGGTCGCCTTTTTCAAAGCTCAGCTCTCCCTCATCGCTGCCCTCATAGGAGTACTGAGCGCTCATAATCTTGTGTTCTGTTCCGCCATTAGATATACTTTGGAATCGACTTCTCCACGACCTCGAAGAATATGTGGACCCACTGTGAGGGCGCCGGGCGTTACCTTTAATACAATTACCCATTATTTAATAACATCCATAGATTCATATTAAAACATATAATTTATTTAATTAAATACTGAATAATGGAGAAAAGAGTTTATTTTTATTTATTAATATATTCAATGAGTAATTAATAAATTATAAACAAAGTATAGTCTAATCGGATGCCAATAAAAAGCTGCAGATATAATGAAAAATATGTAAATGAGATTTTCATATATGGGAAGTTGTCTTTCCTTTCAATATATAGTAATTATTGCGAAAAACAGATTTCCGACAATAATTTATTTGGAAAATATTTATTTGAAATTTTAATTGTTATTAAATAACATCTCATTGTATATACCATACCATTCATTCACAGCATATACTGTACACATTTCTATCGCCGTTACATACCATGTAAATTCACGTCTCGTATTGTTTTTGACTTTTTATATCACTTATTATAATCTTTAAACAGAAATGTTTCCCAAATTCTTCATCTTTTCACATGTAGTCTACAATTGATTCAAATAAATTTAACATATATTATATTAATACACTCTTTGAACAAAAAATTTAATTTACTATTAAATTTGTGATATTTATTTAAACATTAAATTTTAAAATATGTTACACGTTGGTTTTTTTAATCTCATTTTTTATTCATTCAAAAAATATTAACAGATTCTTAAAGAACTTTAAAAATGAGATAAAATATCGATCGATATATTAATAGAGTAAACAGTATTTCAAATAACATCATAAAATCTTAAATACAAAATAACAGAATACTGTGTATTGAATGTCAACTAAATGTGTGAATAAATTGTGACACAACTAGTGTTAGGGAAATAATAGGGGATTGGGATTAAAACCCGTATTCTTAGCCGACTTTACTGATGGCTTCGGGATTGAGTTGAATCATCATCACTGAAAACGTGGCCAAAGTGCAGATGAACGACAAGAAGAACTCGCTGTTAAGTCGGACCACATTATTAAGTGTGGGAACCATTCGTGGATAATAGGATGGCGTTATGATCAGCCGTCGGATCCGTTCGTTGTCTCGGCACAGCTCTCGCATATTGAGCTTCATTTGCCGCGACTCTAACGCCACTCGCGAGGCATAGTGTGAGACAATAAAGTGCGGTAACCATAGTATGATCATCGATACGAACTCAATGAGTGACCAAACCTGGAACCACTCGGAGCCGGCACTCCAGGCCAGGAAGAAGATGTCAATACAGGACACGACGAATAGGGTTGAGAACCAAACCACGTTCA